AGTTCAAATTTTCTACCCGAATGGAACACATATCAGTGAATTCATCAGGACTGATAACATTACTCAAAAGTTTGGCAGACAGACCTCTTTTGACAAAAAAAGCCACACCACCTCCTCTATGGTCTGTTCTGTCTTTTCTTAGACAATAAAATCCAGGAATATTAAACCTAATATCAGGCTTGAGCCATGTCTCAGTACAAATGATAATATCATATTGTACTGAAAAGACTTCTAATTCAGCATTTTTGTTTTTAATACTTCTACAATTCCACAAAAAAAATGTTAAAATCCTGGTCCATTACTATTTCTACTTAAGAAAATTAGGTTTATATTGCTTAACACTTTGTCCGCCGCTGTCACGCTGGTGTGACTTATTTTCGCCAACGGTTATCGGCCGCTGTCACGCTGGTGTGACTTATTTTTGCCAACGATGATGCTTCATATCGACGTTTGTATAGGTAGACATATTATTGCAAGGAAACATTTGGCGATCAGGGAACATTGTTTTTAACTGTTTTCCCCTCCCTATTCACCCGCCTTTTTTTTATTGAAATCTTTTTTCGCGGACGCTTGTTATGTTAGTTTGAGACTGTCATTCACTGCCTTCAGATATCGGAATCTTACGTTAGATTTAGTACAGTTTTAAAATATCCTTCAAAATGGTCTACAATGAGGAAATATATGCTGATCTGTTATCAGAAGACGATTATTGCTCTGATAGTGAAAGTGATTCGGACAGTGGGAGCGATATAATTGTGAGACGATTCAAAAATAAAGGAACACCAATAATTAGTGAATCTGAAAGCGATGAAGAGAATTCTGTTGCAAATGATTGGTCAGAAGTTGATTTTAAACCTGATTTTCATGCTTGCCTGGAACGGTGTGGGTTACAGGTACCATGCGCACCAGACATATTATCAACTGTTGATCTATTCATTGGGGACGATTTATTTGATTTGTTTGTCACACAAACAAACTTATATCATAATCAGCAGAATAATGATAACAACAATGCATCAAGAAAGAATAAAGCTTGGGTTGATACAAATGTTGTAGAAATGAAAAAATTTTTAGGGCTTGTTATCCTAATGGGAATTGTAAAAAAGCCAGAACAAGACGATTATTGGTCTACTCACCCCGGATTACATTCACCTATTTTTGGAAATACAATGCCAAGAAACCGATTTCGGCAGTTATGGAAGTATTGGCACTTCAACAATAATGAGCATTGCCAAGAAAGGCTTGACAAAATAAAACCAGTCTATACAAACCTGGTAGAAAAATTTCAAAAAATTTATAAACCCGAGAAAGAATTATCTTTGGATGAAGGTATCATTCCATGGAGGGGCAGGCTGTCTTTCCGAACATACAACCCAGCGAAAATGATAAAATATGGAATTTTAGTCCGGATGGTGTGTGAAGCTTCATCTGGTTATATATGCAATTTGGAAATATATTGCGCGCAAGGCAAATCGCTAATTGCAACAATATTATCCGTACTATCGCCATATTTGAATTTATGGCATGATATATATATGGAGAACTATTACAATAGTGTAAAAGTTGCAGAGGAGTTACTACAGCGTAAAACAAACGTCTGTGGCACAATTAGAGCAAACAGAGGAGTGCCAAATTGTTTAAAATCTGCTACATTGAAAAATAAGTCAATGGAATTTCGCAGAAAAGGGAAGATTTTAGTACAAAAATGGAATTCGGCCAAAAAATCAATAACGATGATTTCTACGATACATTCAGCAGAAATGGTCGAATGTGTGAGTAAAAAAACAAAAAAGAAGAGCATGAAACCAATTTGCATACGGGAGTATAACAAATTTATGAAAGGTGTTGATCACGCCGATCAATACCTATCGTACTATTCTATACTTCGCAAAACAAAAAAATGGACCAAAAAAACAGTCTTATATCTTATAAACTGTGCATTACTCAACGCGTATCAGATTTGCATAAAAAATTCCGAAAATCCTATTAGATTCAAACAATTTTTACTAAATCTTGCACTAGCATGGATTAATGGGAATGAAGAGGAGCAACAATCAAGATCAGCTGCTCAGTGCAATAAAAGATCGCCAAGGTATGATCCCCCAGACAGGCTGACCGCGGATATGAGGAAATATAGAATAACACGTATTACTGGTAATGGGAGAATTCAAAACCCGCGAAGGGCTTGTAAAGTCTGTACTGCCGCCAAGAAAAGAAGTTCCACCGCATATATGTGTTCTTCCTGCAACGTTCCTCTGCATGTTGGAAAATGTTTTGAAAATTATCATACTAACAAGAACTATGAATCCTAGAAGTTAAATTTTTGAAATAAAATGTTTTAGTACTAATTAAAAAATATAAGACTATGGAATAAATATAGTGTAACAGTTATTTTAATGGCCCCTTTAATAATAATTATATTCCAACTACTTATGTTGCGAAAAGTTGTGTAAATATTACCGTTGGCGAGCAATAGGACCTGCGTGAATCTCGCCGGCGGCAGCGTAACGGCGCTTCAATAAATGCGCGGCCGGCAAAGTGTTAATATCTGCTTTCTTGTTACTGGAGGATGCAATAGATGAAGATGAACGATTAGATACTGTATCTGAAGTTTCACGCAGCACTTTAACTGCAACTTTAAGAACTGACTTAGCTGCGTAATTATCCTTGCAAATTTTATTTGAACTTAGATGAGACACTTTAATATCAGATTTATCACTAATATTAACAGGTGAATTTCTTGAAGAGTGAGTAAGATTCTTAGAGAAAGAAGGAGTATTCTTCCATGATGATGATGCTGGAGAGGAAGGGATTTCCTGTCCTCCAAAAGATTTAATAGTAATAATATTCTCTGGTGACGGCTTCTTCAACTCAGGGAAGTTTTCTGACGTGACTGCAGGAAAATGAGAAACAGCATTACCTTGAACTAGACCAAGGCACCCCATAGCCATCTTTTTGGCTTCCAAATGAGGGACATTCTTGAAGGCCTTAATTTTACTAATTTCCTTCTCAGGAGCAAGTACCCTACAGGAAGAATCTAACGTAACATGGTCACCTTTACAATGAAGACAAATTTTAATGTCTTGCCTACAAACCTCTTCTGTGTGCTCCTCCGATGACCCACAGAATCTACATCTAGGTAGACTTTTACAAAACTTAGATGTCCAAATCGAAAACATTTATAGCAGACCTTAATAGGTTCAATATAAACCTCAATTTTCATGTTATACAGACCATAAACTTTAATAAAATCAGGCAATATACCACCCTCAAAAGTGATAAGGACAGATTCACTGGGAACCCATTCTACTTTGCCATTTTCACCATATTTTCTTCTATTCAACCTCATGATCTTCAAAATCTTACATGGGGATAAAGAATTGGAAATAATATCCTCTACGTTTAGATCTAAATCAAAGTTTTTCAAAATACCTCTCCTCTGGGTTCTAAAATAGGGAATAAAAACCCTAATTCCTTTCTGCTTACAAACAGGATTTAACACAAAACTGTTTGCTGCCTCCCCAGTTTTAAATTTAACTTCAGCCTTACCCCTACCTGAGGGGATAACCTCC